ATGACTTAGTGGTTCACCAAATGGATGTCAAAACGGCTTTTCTTATTGGAGATCTTGATGAAGAAATTTATATGACTCAACCGGAAGGGTTTGTGGTGAAAGGGCAAGAACATAAAGTGTGTAAACTTAGAAAGTCTCTTTATGGTCTTAATCAAGCACCTAAGCAATGGTTTGAGAAGTTTGATAGTACTCTAAGAGTTGTGGCTATGTTGCTATGTTGCTAATCCATCGGATTCATGCCTGTACTCTAAAGAGTTTGGGTCATCATGCGTTATAACTTGCTTATATGTTGATGATATGCTTGTTGTTGGTACTAACCTTGTTGTTGTGAATGATACCAAGGCTATGCTTTCTACTCAGTTTGAAATGAAGGACATGGGAGAAGCCGATATTATTATTGGAATTCGCCTAAAGAAGCAGAGAATGGTTTCTCCATGAGTCAATCTCACTATGTAGAAAAGATTCTAAAGAAGTTTGATTCTTTTGATGTTGTTCCTAGCAAGGTGTCATATGATGTCAACGCCAAATTAGCAAAGAACAAGGGTTCTAGTGCGTCTCAAGAGCTCTATGCAAAGGTGATTGGTAGTGTTATGTTCTTGATGAACTCTACTCGACTCGACATTGCCTACGCAGTGAGTAGACTTAGTAGATATACTCACAATCCAAGTGAAGATCATTGGGTTGCTCTTCATCGGTTTCTAAGGTATCTCAAAGGTACCTTGGAAGTATGCTTGCATTTTAATCTCTTTCTTAATGTCTTAGAAGGCTATTGTGATGCTAATTGGGTAACCGATAATGATGAAGTTGTTTCTACCAGTGGGTATGTTTTTTTTTTTTGGGTGGAGGAGCTATTTCATGGAAGTCCTCAAAACAACCATGTCTAGCTCGCTCCACCATGGAGTCTGAATTCATTGCTCTTGAATTGGCAGGTCATGAAGCGGAGTGTCTTAGGAGCCTGCTAGCCGACATTCCATTGTGGAGGAAGTCTTCATCTCCGGTGTCCATACATTGTGATTCTCAAGCGGCCATTGGAGTTTCCAATAACAACAACTACAACGGCAAAAAGAGACATATGCGTATGAGACACAAAGTTGTGAGGCAATTTCTCAAAAATGGATTCATTACATTGGACTATGTAAGGTTCGAAAAGAACTTGGCGGATCCTTTGACGAAAGGGTTAGCAAGAAAACAAGTTGAAGAATCATCGAGGGGAATAGGACTTACGGCCATGTGATGCATTACATTGTCCTAGTTCCTATGGTGATGGTGTTTGTAATGCATGTTGGTTTGTGAGGTTGAGTTGTTTAAACTCTTAATGGGTCCTTGTGATATTGAGACGCACGGTTAAAGGACTCACCTATGTGGTTGTGAAGACTAGCCATCTTATATGAAAACTTGGTCGGTTTTCTAGTACCTCCACTAGACCTAAGGTGAATATGCTTGGCTATAAAAGAGCATATCTCTTCGCGGAGTCTATGTAAATTTTGGAGTGATGTATGTGTTTTGAGGTTCTTGAGTTAGTCTTGGAGTTTCAAGGTTAATCCACTCCATGATCAAGAGTCTAAGGGTTTCAAGGTTTTATCTACCCTTGTACTTGTAGCTCATTGTCTCAATTCACTAAGCACTAAGATTTCAAATTACTTATGTAATATCTAAGTGTTATGTATTAAACTCCTCTTATACCCAATATGCTGTTCATTCTCTTCTTTGTTGATTTTTCCTTCTTTCCTTTAGTGGGGGATTGTTGGAATAAAGGAAGGAATCCAAAATAGCCTGACCCGGGGGCCCGACCGGGCGCGAGAGAACGCTTGGAAAATGAAGATGTGTTTGCCCGAACGGGCGAGCTCTGCCCGACCGGGCGCGAGAGCAGCCAATCTTTTGGCTGATGCTCGCCCGATCGGGCGAAGCTCCGCCCCACCGGGCGCGGGTTCGGCTGTTGGGTTGCCTAGCTTCCTTGGATTCTTTTCTTCTTCAATCTCTTGTAACCCCTAACTTAAGAGGTGTTTTATGATGATTAAAACGCATGTTTTTATTGCTTATTTTCTCTACCTTTTCACTTCCTCTTGATTTTCTATCTTCCCTTGTTGTTCTATATATTTGTGATCAAATTTTCTGATGTGACACACAAGGAAAATTCATTCACAAGTATCCTAAACACATTAAGCTAAAACACAACTCTATTTCTCTTTGGGTATAAGTTTGCGTAGACTCCACCACTCATTCTAAAGTGTCTTAGCGTGAGAGTGGTGTGTAACCTTAGGGAACGATCTGGTGAATACAATTAAGCACCCTGATTGCACCGAAATTCGTTTTCAAAGGCATGCCACACCGAATTTCCTTCTCTTATTTTTGTTCTTATTTTATTGTTGCTCTTGTTTTAGACACCTATTTTACAACACCTCTGAATGGTTTGAGGAGGTTAGGAAAATTGTAGCCACTTCTACAGAGTGGTCAGAGGCCGAAGAAATAGGGCCAGATTCAAGTTTGGCGGTTCATTTTGATAAAGTGACTCTTGAACGTCTTAGGCAACCATGGAATTTAACCTTGATGGGCAGTATGTGATGTTGCAACTATAATTAGGCCTATTTATGGATCGGATATCAGAAACTGATATTCAAATACGATCCTAAAATTTCGGATATCCGATATTCGGATATCCAAAATTTTCGGATCAGATGGTTCGGATATCCATTATCCAATATATATTAAGTAAAATTGATTATAATTACTTTCTAAATTTAACTAATTACTGCTTTTTATCGTTAAGTTGTACAACATATTTTAACAAATTAGTAGTCTTTTTGTAATAAAAATTATCATCAAATATATAAGGAATATTATAATAAATTAATAATACAGGGTCAGTTTTATATGAATAATTTAAAATTTTTATATATTTTTCACTATTTCAACCTTGGATTTTTTACGAAACTAAGCTTAATTGGCAAACAATTTACCAATCTAGACGCGTGGCCAAACTATTTACGAAACTGAGCTTCTGAGGTAAAACGCTGACTCAGTCAGCGTTTTACCCCTGTTATTATTATTTTTTTTAAAAAAATTCGTATTTTGTGAAATACAAATTTAAAAAAAAAAATGAAAATACACAAAAATGCTGACTCAGTCAGCGTTTTTTATATAGGCATAACAGGAAAAAAAACGCTAACTTAGTATAAAGGCTGAAGGCAGCAACAACAACCCCAACAACCACCTTCCACATCCACCAACACCACCACCCTCCTCCTCCACATCCACCACCACCATCACCCTCCTCCTCCACACCCACCACCTCCACCACCTTTCTTCTCCACACCCACCACCACCACCACCCTCCTCCTCCACATCCACCACCTCCACCACCACCCTCCTCCTCCACATCCACCACCACCACCACCCTCCTCCTCCTCCACATCCACCACCTCCACCACCACCCTCCTCCTCCACATCCACCACCACCACCCTCCTCCTCCTCCTCCACATCCACCACCTCCACCACCACCCTCCTCCTCTACATCCACCACCACCACCACCCTCCTCCTCCACATCCACCACCTCCACCACCCTCCTCCTCTACATCCACCACCACCACCACCCTCCTCCTCCACATCCACCACCTCCACCACCCTCCTCCTCCACATCCACCACCTCCACCACCCTCCTCATCCCCATCCACCACCTCCACCACCCTCCTCCTCCACATCCACCACCACCACCTCCACCACCCTCCTCCTCCACATCCACCACCACCACCACCACCACCCTCCTCCTCTACATCCACCACCACCACCACCACCACCACCACCCTCCTCCTCCACATCCACCACCTCCACTACCCTCCTCCTCTACATCCACCACCACCACCACCACCTTCCTCCTCCACATCCACCACCTTCACCACCCTCCTCATCCCCATCCACCACCTCCACCACCCTCCTCCTCCACATCCACCATCTCCACCACATCCACAATTTATTTTGAACGAAATGAGTCAAATATGCACAAATAAGGAATTTGAAGTTCAAACAAGACATAAATTTATTCAAAACCCAATTATTAAAATAATAATGTAATGTAAGTGTTATGTACAACAAACTAGAGAAGGTCATTACAACAAATAAATCAGATAATTCTATCCTATTCTGACTCATCAATTTGGTGTGACGGCTCTCTATCCTGTATGTCCACTCTCGGCCTGAGACGACGGCTGTAGTGACGGACCGTGGTAAATGGGTTCGGGCGTACTGGCGGAGTCAGCTGGCTGGACGATGGGTCATCAGGATGACGTAGGGGCGCGGAACTGCGAATGTCGTACTCCTCTACGCCCGTGAATGACGCAGGATCACCCCCACAGCTACTCTGGCCAGCCTCGAACTGTGAGTAACTAGAGTGGCCGCCATGATTGTCCCGGGGGTGGACGAGATAGGCGTGACCATATCTCTGCAAGGTAGCCATGCCCATATTTCGCACCCGCTCGACCTGTGCTTTGGGCGGCTCAGGTATGCCTGGAAGGACGTCCGACATGTGCGTCAACCATCACCGTCATATCCAACGTCTGCAGTAATTATGGATGAGTTAGTTAAATGATATACAAATTAAAAATTGATAAAAATAAGTAAATTAAATACACTTACATATCCCATGATCACGTCAAAGGATGGATGGTAATGTGCGGATGGCGGCGTGTAGCTGGGGTTGATGAAACGTCGTGTAATCCGCATCTACCACTCCATGTATGGATCGTATGGATCCATAACGCCGTGGATGGGGTCACCAGTGACGACGAACTCTAACCGTCGATGCCACAAGTCAATGTACTGGGCATGCTCCATCCGCTAGTTCCTGTCGCTCTTTCCCCGACGGTCAATGCGGTGCAGCCGGGCACTAGTGTCACACTGCTGGGGGACAGGCTGGCGTAGTCCAAACTGTCGCATGACTCGATCCGGTAGGTGACCCTCCACAACCTCAAAACAGATCAGGGGGACCCTAGAACGCCACTGCGCCTAATGATCTAGCAGATGTGGAGGCATGGCAGCAACTAAATCAGCTTCATACGGGTCCCATGTCATCTGCGATAACACATACAAAGTAATATAGTAAACAGGTTAGTGCATATTAAATATGTTAATAGTATAAATAAATAACTGTTTACTAAATAAATTAAAGTTATAACCTGATACTCGGTGAGTCGGTCAAGGGCGTCTCGGTAGTACGGAAGGCCCCTCGCCTCATGCGCATATGTCAGTTTGGGGACCGCCCATCTGTAACCGTACGCCTCGTCAGCGGAAGGCCGTGGTGGAGGAATGTACCTCTCATACTGCTGGTCCTGATCCTGCTTTCCCTAACGATGTATAGCAGGCCTACCTGGCCTGCTTACATGGATGTGCTCCCAAGACCAATACTGGACATCAAACACACAAAACTAGGTTAATTGTAAACTAAGTAAGAACTTTCCGAATTAAATTGATAACAGATAGGTAGGTTACCTGAAGCAAAAATAACGGACTGCTGATCTCACGAGAACCCCGACGGGATGCTCTACACAGATTACGATAAAACATCGCTAGACTTAGTGCCCGGTCGATCTAGATGGACACGATCTCTTGTTGTGACCATGCTGGTGACAGAGGCCGCATTTGCTCGCTAGACGGTTGGTCTCATCCATTTCATTGCGTATGTGCCTTGACTTAGGGCGACCTTGTCCTCGTACCATGCTGTTGTCGGGAATGAGTTTAGGGCCTCATACTCTCTCCATGCCGTCTCACAAGGGATAGGCCAGTATTGGGGAGCGTATGTGTTTGCGTAGGCCTCTGATTTCAGTACCCGGTCCACCCATGGCCGCTCTGATATCGAATACTTCGCACAAACTGCTAGAACATGAGAACATGGGAGGTGGAAGATCCGTGGTTTATTGCATGTACACGTTCTTAACTGAAAGTTAACAGTATGTCTATGGCCTCCTTTTCTACCAATTCTATCTCCCCTCTTTGTTTCAACTTGATATATATGCAGTCGACGGTTATACGCTTCCACTTTGTGATATCTAGCCTTTACGATGTTTTTCTCCATAGTGGAAGTGACTTTAGGGGGGGGGGGTATGCAAGTCCATGTTCAGATCTAGCCTGAGATAATTCACTTCTATCAGTGAAATACTTATTCACTCTGTGGAATGTTAACTCAACAAGGGACATGATAGGTAGAAATCGAGCACCCTTCAACACATTGTTAAATGTTTCTGAGAAGTTCGTAGTACATATCCCATATCTGCGACCAGCATCGTGAAACAAAGACCACATAGACATGGGGAGTTGGACAATATACTGTATGGCCTTGGTACATGCCTGACCGATCAAACTCAAATTAGCTTGCAGTTTTCTTTCTTGCCTTTGGTACGCAGCAGCCTTGAACATATCTCTCATGTCGTTTCTTCGCACGTGAGTCTTCAAGTTAGAAGCCAAGTGCCGAACACAAAACCTGTGATAGGCTCGCGGCTCAGTGAATCCAACGTTAGGGTCATTCATTGCTGCAATGATCCCAACATGTCGATCAGATATAACACAGAGGCCATCCCGTTGAGTGACATGAACCCGAATGCAGCCAAGAAACCAAGACCAGCTGGAAGTGTTTTCCCCTTCGACTAACGCAAATGCAAGCGGAAATACTTGGAAGTTTGCATCCACACTTGTAGCAACCAACAATGTTCCTTTAAATTTCCCGTACAAATGCGTCCCATCGATACAGATGACAGACATACAATGTTTAAAACCTTCAAAACAAGGGCCGAAGGCCCAAAATACTCGTTCAAACACTTCCATGTTGCTGTAATAAATACCGTCTACTAGAGCTTTGTGTTTCCATACAACAACGGTTCCCAGGTTTGACTGTTTGAGTGCTTCCATGAAGTGCGGAAGTCTGCCATAAGAACTCTCCCAATCTCCAAATACTTCAGCTATGGCTTTCTCCCTAGCATACCATGCTCTTCGATAAGTAACGTCGAACTGAAAATGCTTGGATATGAGTTCCTGTATAAATTCAACTTTCAAGCATGGATCTTTCTGCACAAAAGACTTCACAAAATTGGAAATTATAGATGAATCCAAGTGTGCATGATCTGTAGATAACACTTCAGTGACACAGGTCTCCCGGTGCGGGCCTTTGTATGTGACTATGGTAAAGTTGTCTGAGTGCTCACTTTTTTTAGTACCTCGTAGCGACCAACCACAATTCTTCTTGCACCGCAGATGAAGGACCTTCTCATTTGAGGTCAATGTGGTGTAGAATTGGTTCCTTTGTATAGAATACTTCTTCACCATTTTCTGAAGCAATTTCTTAGATTCAAAGAACATACCCTTCTTAAACTCTCCCCCGATCACAAATGTTGTATGACTACCTGATTCGGCCCAATATTAATCAACCTCATAATTCTCATTTACTTGACTTAACCAAGGAATAGGAGTTCTAACCATGGCCTCCCCACCTTCCATGTCTGCAGAATCAACATCCATGTTATCTAGTCCATGTTCCTCCTCTTCGCTCTCATCCTCATCATTTGTTTCCCAGAGCGCATCATAAAGAGACAACTCGTTATTCACCATATGTTGTAGATTTTCAAGATGATTCATCAATGGTTGAGACGGAGATGTATGATCATCATGCTGCGTAGGTGAATAACTTTGGAGTTGCATGGGAGAGGATATAAATGTGTTCAATGTCGAAGGCCCAGATTGGCCTAACATTGTCGTAGATGGTCCACCATATACAGGTGAAGCTATATGTGAACTCAACGGCATCTGGAACCAATCGTCATGAAGTAGTGTGCTGAAGGACCCCATCCCATATTCAGTTGATGGAATGTCTTGTGAGGGCATTTGGAAGGACTCTGTGTATCCGGAAAAATAGGTAGCTTGTTGATCTGGTCGAGTACTTTGTTGCGTACACGTAGACACTATTTCTATATATATCTCATGTGGATAACCCCTCATTAAAACAGCGCTCCTAAAAGCTTTCAAATGTCTATCGTTAGAACAAGGTAACACTTGAACCACATTATTAGTCTCAAACCTCATTTGAATGTTAAGGTACATTCATTGGGTTTAAGCCAATAATGCTACAAACCTCGTTCATTAGATCGTTGAAAGTCATGTCCGGTCCAAATGGCAATGGTTCCATATTTCCACCACTATACTGGACATTCGGTCCATCAGACACAAATTCACCCCCCATCGGCATAACAAAGCTGCGCTTTGTGCAGCCATATTCTATACAACAACCAAAAAACACATCTTAATTGCATGCAATCTCCACCAATTCGCACTATAACAACCAAGATATTCACACTATAAACATAATTAACCAACATTGTTCCAATTCACATAACAACCAAAACAAAGTACACAACGAACATATTCACACTATAACAACCAACATATTCTACATAACATATTTTTCGTAATTAAACAACAATGTAGGCTACTTTATCAAATTAAAACAACAATTTCATCAACATTATCAACAATTTCATCAACATTTTCAACAATTTTATCAAACATTTCCACAATTTCATCAAAAACTTTCATACTAAACTAACATCAATTTAGGGCTTTTATACTAAACTATTATCAAATTACAACAAACTAACTTAGAATTATCAACATAATTATCAATTTACATCAAACTAACTTAGAATAATCAACAACATTATCAAATTAAAACAATGTAGTATATAATTATCAAACTAACCTAGATTTTTAGATTTTAAAAACAAATGAGTGAGAAGTACCAACAATGTGATTAAAAAGAAGAGGAGAGGCGCGGCGCGGCGGCAGCAGGCAGTAGGCGGCGGCGACCGCGGCAGGCACTAGGTGGCGGCGGGTAGACAGTTGATGAAGAGTGAGAGAGTGAGTTTGAGTTTTGAGGAAGAGTGACTGTGTCGCGTGTTTCCGGAACAATTTACCAGTGAAAACCGCTGACTGAGGCAACGTGTTTCTAGTATTAATGAAACACTGACTCAGTCAGCGTTTTAAGGTCTGTTATAGCATTACACAAAAACGCTGACTGAGGTAGCGGTTTTGTGTATTTTCTATTTTTATTTATTTTGTATTTCACAAAATACGAAATTAAAAAAAAAAACTTAAATAAAAGGAGTAAAACGCTGACCGAGTCAACGGTTTACCTCAGAAGCTTAGTTTCGTAAATAGTTTGGCCACACGTCTATATTCGTAAATTGTTTACTAATAAGGCTTAGTTTCGTAAAAAATCCTTCAACCTTTATATTTCGGATATCAGATATCCGAAGTTTTGAGAATCAATATTCAAATTCGCATCCGATATCCGCTTTTTCAGATCGGATAACCGATCGGAAATGAAAACTCGGATCGGATATTCAAAAATTCGGATCGGTTGCGAATCGGATTATCGGATTTTTGAATTCTCGAATAGTTTTGTAGAGGTCTAACTGTAATATCCAAGTTTGAGATTGCCATAGTTACTCATATTCCAAAGGAACATAATGAGTTGGCTCACAAACTGGCAGTCTATGAAAGGGAGATGGCAGTTGGTTACAAGACTCATTACTTGATTCCTGATTGCGTGCGTGAATTGTATGAGGCAGAACTTGCTCAAGTGGTGGCTGCTGCTCAAAACAAATGAATAATCAGGGGTTCTTAGCTATGGATGTTTACTGTTTTTGGATTCCTTAATGAACTTAATTGCACACTCACTTTGAGGTGCTTATAGGATGTATTCACAGCTTATGTGATAGGTTTATTTTGGTACTGCATCGATTTTCATTGTATAAATTATAGGATGCGATGTAAATATTTTGGCTATAGCCTATTAATATAAATAAGTCTTTTCTTTATTTGTGTTAAAAAAAAAAACTTTAGTAATTAATAAAATCTTTACTTTCATCCCAAAATTGGAGGATGAATTTGGGAGGAAATAAATAAAGTAACAAGTATTATACTAAACTTTCCATCAAACCACACATTGGATAATATACACCCAGGTGCATGGTGCACCCAAAGGTATTTCTACTCATTAAATATTTTTTTTGCTCATTTTAAAATATTAAAATAAGCAAAATATTATTAAATGAGCAAAAATCACCCATAGGTCGGTGCACTCGGGTGTATATAAAAGGTTTTGAGTTTATTTCTTTCCCCTTTTCTTCCTTTCTTTTCCCTTCTCTAGTTCTCATTTCCTTCCTTTACTAATGTTGGTCCTATACTCTCTTACTTGCTCAATTTCTCTACGCGCGGAGTTTTAAGAGAATTAGTAGAAAGTAATAAAATATGAAGGAAGTGGAATTGGTGGAAGAATAAAGTATAATAGTTGGGAGGAGAAAGAATATGGAAATACTAAAGTATGATAGTTGAGAGGTCTACTAAAAGAAAAGAAATTAGTGAAATATTGTGAAAGGTTTTCATAAAAGAAAATAAATCAAGTAATAAAATACGACCACAACAAAAAAGTGGAGCAAGTAATAAAATATGAAGGTAGAATTTGTTAATAAAAAGAACATTACATTCCTTTCATTATTCATAATTTTAGTGAAGTGAATTATGTTAAATGGACACACAATATGAGACGAATGGAGTAAAATACAATTAAAAATCCCATTGAAAGTACAAGTTACAATTTAAGAATTTCTCAAAATTAAGGCAAGGATGTTAGGGATTTGGAGTTTCTAGTATCTCTTTTTCTAATTTATTATACTACTTTCGTTAAATGTTATGTGCAACTTTAGAATATTTTATATTTCACAAATAATACCCCAAAGTTGCACATTCTAATTTCCATAAAAAGGTAGACATTAGAGCATGAAGTTGACCACATTGGAGCATGGAAACAGCTAATATCGATTTCTTCAATAGAGGTTTCTCGTTTTTCTATACTACTAGAATTACAAAGCTTATTTATAAAATAATGCTTAACATTCCAAAATTTGATGATAAACCATGTTTCGAGAATTGAACACGTACGTTCTTGACATTTACAAATTCCTTCATACTATGCTAATGTAATGGATTAGGAACTCCGTATTAGATTATTGTTTGTTAAGAGTATTAGTGTATTACTATACAATAATTTTTTGAGGAATTACGCAAAACCAGCAAAAGCTACTGTTTGGACGGCTAAAAGGAAGAGGTTTGACGCCATCAATCGAGTTAACATTATTTGGGGTTAAGAGTACAAATGCACAACTAATGAAGATCAAACCTTTTTTTTTTTTTTTGGGTCATTCATAAATTAAAGAAAGTATAAAATGGATTGATTGATTAGTGTAAATGCGTAGTAATTTTGATTTTAATTAATATCCTTACTCTTGTTTCTTGTTAATCCTGTTAAAATACTATCTCCACTTCGCATTACTCGCAACAAAGAGTAGTTTTGCGAACTCCTAGACAAAAAATTTTAAGCATAGTTAGTGAAAAATAAGGGCATATAATTAAGTATTAATTCAACCCAACCCCCCCCCAAAAAAAAAAAACACAAAAATCAACCAAAATTAAACTAAATAACCCACCACCATTAGCACACCACCACCATCCAGCAGCACCGAAACAACCCAGTAGCACTGAAACAACCCAGCACCACCATCCAACACTACAAAAACCGAACCCAGAACCACCCAGCCGCAGCACCAATCCGAACCCTTTTGACCCACCGCACCCACGAACCCACGAGCCGTAGCAACCCACCAAAGCCACGAGCCGCAGCAACCTACCAAACCCACGAGCCGCAACAACCCACCAACCCCAGCTAACCCACATATCTGGAATAAACAACCCACAACCCACCAACCACCAACCTACCACCGACGAACCCCACGATGTGAACCTTCCACCCACGATTTGAAACCACCGACGAATCCTACGATTTGAAACCACCGGCGAACCCACGATCTGAAACCTACCATCGACGAACTCACCGAGCAAAACCCACGAACCCACCATGAGAATGGGTTAGAGGAGGAGAGAGAAAAATAATGGGGATGAGGATGAAATTAATTAACCTTGGGTTTAATCTAATGAAATTAAATTTGTAGTTTAATAAGGTTGTTTTTTTTTTAAAAAAAATAAGGGTAATTCGTCATTTAGCAGCAAAAAACTAACTAAAAAAGAAAGAAAACAATTTGTTGCGAATAATGTGAACCATCCGTTTTTAGTAAATATTGCGAGTAATGCAAATCGGAGGTAGTACATGTAAAGGGGTTATGAATCAAGTTGATATATTCAAAATATATTTTACCAATCAAACTTGCTTGATGGAGATGGTGGAGAACTCACCCTAAGATTACAAGATAACTAAA